TGAGTCTCGCTTTGTCACCAGGCTGGAGTGCAGTGGCACAATCTCAGCTCACTGTAACCTCCACCTTCTGGGTTCAAGTGATTCTCCTGTCTCAGTTTCCCAAGTAGCTGGGATTACAGGCACCATGCCACCACCCCCAGCTAATTTATTTTTAGTAGAGACAAGGTTTCTCCATGTTGGTCAGGCTGGTCTTGAACTCCTGACCTCATGATCTACCTGCCTCAATCTCCCAATGTGCTGGAATTACAGGCGTGAGCCACCATGCCCAGCCAAATGTTTACTTTTTATTACCTTAATTTTATGTCCTTATTCATAGTTTCTCAAATGAAGTGTCATTTCTTTTTTGCTTTTAATATTATTTTAATTGACAAAGTAGTTGCACTTATTTATGGGATACATGTGATATGTTCATACATGTATATAATGTGTAATGATCAAATCGGTAATTAGCGTTATCAACACCTCAAACATTGATCATTTATGTCAGGAACATTTTAAATCTCTAGTAGCTATTTGAAAATATACAATAAATTGTGGTTAACTATAGTCACCTTATAGTGCTATAGAATGTGAGAACTTACTCCCCCTACCAGGCTGTACTTTTGTATCCATTGACCGACTCTGGCTATCCCTGACTCTATTCATCCTTGCCTCAGTAACTACCATTAAGTATGAGATCAACTTTTTTAGCTTCCACATGTAAGTGAGAGCAGAAGCATCATTTTGATTCGTATTCTCTGTTTGGTATTTTTTGTTTCTGTTTGTGTTTTTGTTTTGAGATGGAGTGCAATGGCGCGATCTTGGCTCACTGCAGCCTCTGCCTCCCAGGTTCAAGCAATTCTCCTGCCTCAGCCTCCTGAATAGCTGGGATTACAGGTGCCTGCCACCATGCCCAGCTAATTTTTGTATTTTTAGTAGAGATGGGTTTTCACCATGTTGGCCAGGCTGGTCTCAAACTTCTGACCTCAGGTGATCCACCTGCCTCAGCCTCCCAAAGTGCTGGGATTACAGGCGTGAGCCACCGCACCCAACCTGTTACTCTGTAATGTAAATGACATTTTAAAATGCTCTTGCTACTTAACAATTCACTTCTCCATCAAGAATGTGTTGAGGCTCTGCCAAGCTCTGTGCTAGATGCTGGGGATACATTATTGAGTGAAAACAGATGTTGTTCTTACTGTCGTGGAGGTTAATATCTGGAGAATGACAGCAGGCATTAACAGAACACTCACAGGAGTACCCAAGGAACCCCAACAGTGACACACATTCCAAAGCAAAGGCATATGGTGATGGGGCCAAGAGTAGGAGGCTTCTCCAGGATGACTGTGGATAGGTGTGTTTGTCCTCTGACCATTGACTGACAGGGAGCTGGAATACAACCTGTGCTCTGCTTAAAGCGTCATGAACCCAGGTACAGACAGCATCTGCCCATAGGGAATGACGTCCTCTAATTCTTCTCAAGGTGCTGCATAGGCCAAAGGCAGCCCAAAAGTTAACTAACGTGGAAAGCAAGCATCCCTCAACTGAGATCTGCACCTTGCGTAGGAGTTACTTACATGAAGAGAGGAGGGACCCTGTGCAGACGTTCTGTGGGAGGCAGGAGGGCCGTGTAGGTGAGAAAGGAGGAAAGGTGACCATCATTAAAAGAGTGAGGGAAGACGTGCCAGGGTGGTATGGAGTGGCCCCATAATTTCACAAAAGAATGGATGATGTGAAATTAACATAATAGATGATGTTAACAGTGTCAATTTCACGTCATCCATTCTCTAAGTTGAAAAAATGTCGGCTACAAATGATTTGCTGAAAATTTTGCCATAGCAATGGCATATAGAAGCATTTGTCTGAGACATGGAAATTTAAAATTTTATTCAGGTTTCAGACTGCAGGCTTGCAGACCATGTTAAGCAGTTTTTATTCTACAAATTAGGGGAAACCGCTGGTGGATTTTAAGAGTATAAATATATGGATGGCTCTAGCTAGAGTGAGAAGGTGTTGTTTGTCCTCAGTGTAGTGAGAACCTATGAAATAATTTTAAGCATGTAATGCTGCAATCGAATTTATGTTTTGAAAAGATTATTCTGGCTGTGTTACAGAAAACAAACTAAAAGCTGGCCAAGGTGAAATATCAGCAAAGTAGTTCCAAGGCTGTTACAAGGATATAAACTAATTTTACATTTATAAGGTAAACAAGCTGTGTAAGTTTCAGGTAAACACGTCTGTTTCTTAGCATAATGATGGTACAGACTGCAAAAGAAGAGAAATTTGAAAAATATTTTGGAGGCAAAATAAGCGGCCTAAATGATGGGTTGGCCATATGGTGGTAAGGGAAGAGAGGTGGTAAGGGAATAGTTGTACGTTGGTGCCACTCACTGAGATGGAGAACACGGAAAGAGGCCAGATTTGGACCGGGTTGGAGAGGGAAGATGATGAGTTTAGTTTCTGTTTTGTTGGGTATGAAAATACTTGAGATACCTAAAGGGTTTCACCTAAGTATTTAAGGCTTAAGCTCAGAAGACATCTAGAGTGAAATCTAAATTTTCATTACTTGCATACTGGTTATAACTGAGGCCACTGGTATCAATGGGAGGCCAAGAGAGAGAATACCGAGAATATTTTGTAATTTGGGCTGTAAAGTTCAAGACAGAGTAGAATCTGAGATTAATATTTGAGGGAGGAAATTTCTTAATGGAAGAAACTTGAGCATATTTATAAGCCAATGAGAAAGATCCAGGAGAGACAGATTTATGATTTTTTTTTTTTTTTGAGACAGAGTCTTGCTCTGTCACCCAGGCTGGAGTATAGTGACGTGATATTGGCTCACCGAAACCTGTGCCTCCCGGGTTCAAGCGATTCTCCTGCCTCAGCCTCCTGAGTAGCTGAGATTACAGGCCATGCTCGGCTAATTTTTTATTTTTAGTAGAGACAGGGTTTTACCATGTTGGTCAGGCTGACCTCATGATCCGCCCACCTCGGCCTTCCAAAGTGCTGGGATTACAGGCGTGAGCCACTGTGCCTGGCCGATTTATGATGAAATTTTATATGAACTTAATGTTAAGCTCAATTCATGCATATACAATTATAAACATCAATAATTAACATTTTGGTATTTAAAAATTACTTTGCAAACTGGAAAGCTATATATTTTATACAACAGATGGCTACAAAATTAAAATTATATGTATAGAAGGTTTTCTTCCAATTCACGTGGTCTATTTCACATAATCCATTCTTTTCCTTAAACTGAAAAATGTCTGAGACAAATTATTTGCTAAAAATTTGCCACAGCAATGGCATATACAAACATATGATTGAGACATAGGATTTACAATTTTATTCAGGTTTAAGATTATAATGTTGATAGACATAGCTAAGGGAAACAGAAAACGCAGTGTGTATGCGGGATGGAGGAAAGAGGGTGTTTAGTTCCAACCCAGAGAAAATTGGCTAATTCTACAGTGTTCAGAAACTCATGTGTAAATACTACTGTCTTAGTATCAGAATAGTCATTTCAGTTCCAGTCACCTGGAAATATTTATGATCTGGTTTCACGGCTTTATTCTTTGCGGACTTCCAACAGAAAGACTGCAAGAATTATGTATGAATTCCCAAAGACTAATTTGGCTTTCAAATTAACGTTACATGTTAGTCTTTTGAAAGCATTTCTTCAGTTTTCTCCCAAAGAACATGACATCACACTTTTGCTTTAGATGTCCATGGTAAACATGGAAATGCATAGAAATTGCAGTAGAAATTGCTGGCTGTCCTTTAGGTACCTGTCTACCCCAATGCAATCTTATTTCAAGATGCCTGAGAGGGATTTTTAAGAGAAATTAGCCAAAGTTCGTATCATATCAATGTTGGTGCTGATGGATTTCTCTTTTGCTGAATTTTGGATCTCATTGGACCTAGCTGCTTCCCATTGTCATAATTTTATGTGCTCTCTATATTTTAGCAAGAAAAGCAGATGGCTCAGAGATTTTATAATTCCTTCATTTAACTTAGTTGATACATTTTATCATCTATTCACAGAATATGTGATTTAGATTTAATACAATAGCTATACTTTGCAAGAGCACAAGAAGTTTTATTAGAATGCCAAAGGAGACGTTGGTTGTAATGCCTGATGTCCTACTTGCAAAACTATGTGACCTTAGAGAAAGCACTCTAGCTCTTTGGGCCTCAGTTTCTCCACCTAGAGTAAGCTATGTTTGACTAAATGATCTCAAAGCTTCCTTCCAACTGGAATATTCCAGAATAAAAATTACATCACATAAATTTTGCCTGCAAATTTGGCCTCCACTCTTAGATACTTTTATCATTTGGAAGTAGAGAGTGTGTGTATGTTGAAAGCAGCAGGAAGACCAATGCAATATTGTAGTTCATCTCTGGTCTTCTGTCAGAATGGAAAGTTCTACCCAGTTGTAACTAACTGTGCCTTGGAGTTCTAGTGGCAGGCAGGAAAATTCATCATCAAAAAAGCAAGCAATTCCACAACAGCTTTCAACGGAATGTGTGTCTGCTCAGGGAGGACCTGCCTCTTGCATTTATTTAGTTAACATATTAATTTGTTTAAACACAGGTCAAGTAATCACTGCCAGTGTTGCAGATATCATTGCAAATTACTCATTCAAGGATATCCTCAGGAAACTGGCAGGAGAAAAGCAGACGGAAGTAGCTCCAGCTTCCTATGATGACAGTTACCTTGGTAAGACGCCTTGCTGAAGACACTTGTGGTTTTTCAAAAGACAAGCTCAGTAAATGTAGATGCAAATTTTATCCCTGACTTATCCTGTGCTATTTGGCATCTTATACAAATGTTCTCTTATTAGAATGGACTCTTGATTTTTCTTTTCTTTTTAATACTGTTATTTTTCCAGCCATGATGTGTAATACATAATTTGTGCAGCTATTTTGTTGGCTCCGTAGCAGCCTTTTCCACATGAAGCACCTCATCAGTAGTAGACACTATGTATTAGCAGGGCTGCTACCAGGGACAGCATGATAGCAACCTTCTCCAGTTTATAGAGCAACACAAGAGAAGTTCCATTGGCTAGAATATTCTCCAACTGTATTATGTGCAAACCACATAATGTCACTTCACCACTACTGTTTCCCACCTTTGGTAGCCTGGTGGCCTTTTGATGGCTTGATGAATTTGAAAAAGAAATGTAGCTATGTTTTGTCAATGTAGCCAGCACCTCACTTTAGAGCTAAATGAAATTGTGGAAAACCATCAGGAAAGGTATTAGGAAGGAGGTCTTGCTGGTGACCGGAAATAACAAAGCCTGGGCTCAAAGGAAATCTTTCAGAGTATTCTGTCTGATTATTTTGAATCAGCAGCTCTTAAAATGCAACAGCCACCATTTACACTTAAGGTGGATTATGAAGCATCCATGCTTTTAAAATTGACCTCAGAATCTCTCCTTTTATTTTTTTTTTTTTGCTATGCTCCTACTTAAGATAATAGGTGATCTATTATACATTCAAGATTTAGTATAAAAGTGTTTAATTTGGTGTGATTTTTTCCATCATAGAATCTTTTTTATTTTATAATATGTGTAGAGATTTCTAAATAAAGCAGTACCATGATAGCCCTTTTACCTTTCTCTAGATATAACTAATTTGGTGACATCATCAAGTGTGATTAGTGTGTTTCTTTTTATATATATATACTTTAAGTTCTGGGGTACATGTGCAGAACATGCAGATTTGTTACATAGGTATACACATACCAGAGTGGTCTTCTGTATCCATCACCCCGTCATCTACATTAGGTATTTTTCCTAATGCTGTCCCTCCTATCCCCCCATCCCCTGCTATCCTTCCCCTAGCTGCCCCCTGACCCCCTGACAGGCCCCGGTGTGTGATGTTCCCCTCCCTGTGTCCATGTGTTCTCATTGTTCACACCCACTTATGAGTCAGAACATTCAGTGTTTGGTTTTCTGTTCTTGTGTCAGTTTGCTGAGAATGATGCTTTCCAGCTTCATCCATGTCCCTGCAAAGGACATGAACTCATCCTTTTTTAATGGCTGTATATATTCCATGGTGTATATGTGCCCTATTTTCTTTATCCAGTCTATCATTGATGAGCATTTGGTTTGGTTCCAAGTCTTTGCTATTTTGAACAGTGCCGCAATAAACATGTGTGTGCATGTGTCTTTATAACGGAATGGTTTATAATCTTTTGGGTATATGCCCAGTAATGGAATTGCTGGGTCAAATGGTATTTCTAGTTCTAGATCCTTGAGGAATTGCCACATTGTCTTCCACAATGGATGAACTAATTTACACTCCACAAACTTGTTTCTTTTCTTTAAAACAGGATATTCAGTTGCTGCTGGGGAGTTTACTGGGGATTCTCAGCAAGGTGAGAGACATTGTTGAGTTTAAATCACTTACAAAGCATGGGGAAATGGTAAAATGACATAAAAAGTTTTTTCTATCAATGTGATTTTGTTTGCTCTACAAAGGGTATATTAATGGAATCCCAGAGTGTACATAATATTTTGTAGAAAAAATACTTTGGTACAGCGTTTTAGGTCTCAAATAATTTCATAAGAATAAATATCAACTTTATAAAATCTAGGTAAGCAGCCAAATATTAGGGCCATAGTCCCATGTTATGAATGAAAAATACAGATGATTAAATGCTGTGCTGTTAGTGACAGATCAAATTTGTGAAATTAAGATCCCTTTTAAACTTTCATTTCTAGTACCTCTCATATCAGACACATCCAAAATTACTCTCCCCAACCAACTCCAATCCAACATCCCTGCCTTATTAAGTTTTCCTCTGTGAACATACCCAAACCCCAAATAACAGAACAAATGAATCCCTATCTCCTATATACCCCATATGTCCTGTCTTCTCTACTTTGCTGTGACTGTCTTCTACTGGGGCTGATCAACATGAAATAATGAACACAGAATATCTAATTAAATTATGATAAGTGCTAGGATAAAGTTCTAAAGATAGAGTAAGGACAGCTTTGTTGTTGAGAAAACATTTGAACGGAGCCTGGGATGATGGGGGGAAGGGGTGGACAGACATAGCGGCAGGGGCCAACTTCTATATTCTAAAGTCTGTGGAAAATGGGGGTGTTCAAGGACCTCAGTCTGACTGCCAGACTTTGATAGTGAAATGAAATTGGCTTCAAGAAAGGTCTGGGTTCAGATCATGTCTGGTTTTATGGGTCATGGAAATGATTCTGGGATATATTCAACATGCAGGGGAGAAGACATGAAAGGTTTAAGCTGAGGAGTAAATATGATGCTATTAGGCTCATATTCTAAAAGAAAAAAAGAGAACAAATCACACTGGCTGCCTCATGTAGATTTGGTTGAGATGAGAGTAAGGAAGAATGATATCATATGTATTACTTTTCATGTCCCCCTCCTTGAAGGCAAGATCTATGTATTGTTATGTATTGTTCTTATTTATCTTCCTTACGAAGACTAGACCATATGTTGCTCATAATAGACTCATGTGGGAAACAGCCTGACAGAAATAAGTTGAATCTTTGGAATCAAGATCCACATAGGTTCAAGTTCTGACCGTACAGACTTTCTATTCCTGAGGCTATGATAACCTCCCTGATTCTTATTTGCTTATCTTTAAATGACACTAATGTTAACTAACTCAAAATAATGTTCTGAAGATTGCATGAGCTAATGCATGAAAAATACCTACATGCAAGGCAATAAATGGGAGCTTTTACTTAACTGGTAATATTTATTGAATGAGGCAATCATCAATTAATATTTACCATTTTCCATCTTGTTTCATATGAACATTGACTGCATTTCACTAATGCAAGTGGTTTCATTCACAAATAATTAGGAGTAAATGAAATATGATCACCTCTAGAAATCATCACAGATCTTTTCATAGTTTCATGTTGACAAGATATGCAAAGCAGAACATCATAAAGAAAGTTTTACAGTTCAGGTTGAAGATAATTGGGTGTTTTATCTTTTCTTTTGAATAATATTTTTCTTTTAGGTACAAACTAATTCATAAAGAACTTGTCCTTTCATTATGTTTTTTTTCAAGGTATTAAAAAGCATTTTGTATGTTGTAACGCTTAAGAGGCTGGACTCTGGAGCCAGACCTCTTGGGTTTAAACCCTGACTCCACTACTTACTATCTCTGTGACCTTGGACAAGTTACCTAGCATCTTAGTGCCTCCAATTTTTTCCATTCCTAAAATAAGGATGATGTTGCTAATACCACTGTCTACGTCACAGGGTTCTTGGGAGAATTAAATGGCTTAACTGTATCCATAAAACAGGGCAATGCCTGCTCTCTAAAAACTGCTGTTGGCTGTAATAAGAACTACTGAATTAGGAAGCAGGAAAGACAGTACTGAATAAGTAGTACCTTAAAAAACGGCCAAATCTTAAAATCACTAAAAATGTAACAAAGGAAACTGTAAAACATGCCAAATTATTATTTTTTTTAAATATGGCATTAGGAGTATGTTAGACTGGGTGTGGTGGCTCACGCCTATAATCCCAGCACTTTGTGAGGCCAAGGTGGGAGAACTGCTTGAGCTCAGGAGTTCTACACCAGCCTGGGCAACACAGTGAGACCTCCTCTCAAAAATACAAAACTTAGCTGGGCATAGTGGCATGCACCTGTAGTCCCAGCTACTTACTTTGGAGTCAAGCTTAGGAAGCTGAGGCAGGAGGATCGCTTGACCCTGGGAGGTCAAGGTGGAAGTGAATCATTGTACCACTGCACTCCAGCATTGGGTGAGAGACTAAGATCCCATCTCAAAACAAACAAACAAACAAACAAAAGAGTCTTGTTGGAAAGCTCTCCAGAATAGCGTTCAGTTTTGACCCAAGAAAGTAAATAATGATGCATAAGAGTACACTATAGGGAAGAACACAGTGGTGATTTTCCATCAGATCTCAGAAATACCTGAAAACCAGATTTGCGTTTTAAGTGTTTTGAGGATAAAAGCACTATCAAGGAACTTCACAATCAACTCACCAGACCACTACGAGCCTAGGACTGTGCATGTTCACGATTTACTTAATTAGACAACGGGGAATTCAAATTATATTTAAACAAAACAAAACAAAACAGTGACCACTTCAGTGTCCTCTAGATGGTGGGTTCTTAATATGGATCCTCACACTGCTGGGTGGTACCCAGATGGGCTTCACTGGATTAGAACCCCTAAAAATTACATGTAAGATTCTGACAAGAGGACCCATAGCTTTCTTCCAATTTTCGTACATGTTTGCAACTCAGAAAAGGTTAAAGGCCTTTGTTATCACTTTAGAGTGAGATGTAGTGAGCTAAAACCCAAGAAAGTAAACTGTCCCTAACCAATTCCAGGAACGTAATTTGATGTGTTGGAAAGAATGGTGACTTTCCTGTCAATTCTCGACCTGTACTACTCACCAATTATGAGTTCAACCATGATAGAACCTTTCTAAGCTTCAAATGAAGGAAATATTTTTGCTTCTCACTAGTCAGTGTGCTACTCAAATCACATGTTGTCAAGTCAAGGATTTAAAACTTTCCTGATTATATTCAATATTAAAAACCGCCTGGCCATGTGCCATGGCTCACGCCTCTAATTCCAACACTTTGGGAGGCCGAGGCAGGTGGATCACTTGAGCCCAAGAGTTTGAGACCAGCCTGGGCAACATAGTGAAATCCCATCTCTACAAAATTTGCAAAAATTAGCCAAGCATGGTGGCATGCACCTGTGGTCCTAGCTACTCAGGAAGCTGGGGTGGGAGGATGGCTTGAGCCCAGGAGGTTGAGGCTGCAGTGAGCCATGGTTATTGTGCCACTACACTCCAGTACACTCTAGGCTGGGTGACAGAGTGAGACCCTGTTTAAAAA